AACTACACCGACGGCCAGGCTCAGGCGCCAGCTACTGTCGGAGGACCCGGACCATGTTACTTCAGGTCCTCCCCGAATCGACAAAATGCCTAATTATTCCCTATCCCAGGAGAAAAAAAAATAAATAAAAAATCATACCCTAGACATGTTGTTTTTCTAACTGATTTAGATTACGTAAAGAGAATACATGTACAAATCTGTTGACAATAAAATAATACTAGTAAACCAAGAGATAAGGACACCTCAAGAAAAACTCTTTGGTTGGCTTCGGTTAGTAAAATCGGAAAAGTAAATCCTCATTGAAAGCCCCACGTCCTTGACGAAAAAGGGAACACGTGTTTCGGTGAATACATTTTCTGAAATATTTTTGCAGAATCTGTGCGATACTACAGTGAAAACATCTCGTTATATCCTCTAAGTATCAGTAAAAATGCTTTAAAAATTAATTGTCTGGAACGAAACTGAAATAAGACTAAGTTGGCAATATTCTCGGCAGCCATTATGCTGATTTTGATACGATAATGTAAAGAATAATATTGCGAATGTACGAAATGCTAAGTCAAGAATTAATTTACAATACATAAGGAAAAATGTCAAGTTGCTGGTATTTCAAATTCAGTAAAATATACATTTTTTTATTTTATAAAAGGCATTGATACTTGAATGATAATTGAATTGAGTATACATACATATACGTCTATATTCTCAAACCCCATTCCCATCACTTCGATAATTAGTTATCCGTTACTATGGGATTTGCGCTTTTCAAGAAACTTTTTACCTTGCACAACCAATCTGTGGAAGAAATGGTATTAAAGGACTGATACGAACTCCAAACCTACAAGAATATAGCGTACTCCTAACCGTAATCTTAAATGCCGACATCGCGCTAGTGATACCTAGTTGAAGCCATTTGTGGGCGATAGTCACTTTCTATTAGGTGACACGTCTTTATGTTTGCCCCATGCCATAAAAAATGCCAACTAAAATAATAACTACAATATTTTTTTTTTCAAAAGGGTTTGTTCCAAAATCGCCCCATTTAAATTTTATATAGATCTGATGATGAGTTTCGGAGACAGACAACGGAATTTGAAAAAAAAAGACAGCAAATTAACCGCGATTGCTAGCTAGGTTTTTAGTGCTCTTTGTTAGTATTTTTTGAAGTCGATTCAACTTTTTTTTAATAATTTATAGAATAGTTCTTGGCCTTGTGTTCTTTTGCTTGAATATAGAATATAGACCGTCGCCCAATGCTGGTAAGATTTACTACCGCAGAGGCTAGATCCGCGGTCTGGAAGTCCAAGACATCGTTAAAGGGTTCTGGCTTCTCGGTAAGAGATTTTTTTACTAAAATACGTCAGCTTTCACCCTGGTCCTACAACATTTCGGCAGGTCAGCTTGTTGGACACAGGACGGCGTTATAGTTATCAAAGCCAGCGATAACAACCGGTATAAGGTGACATCCACTGATGAGCTGCAGCCCTTACTAGTCAAATTTCCAAATTCGTCATCCACAAGCCGGAGTGACAGTTTTTTTGGTCTGATTCATAATAGATCGCTATCTCGCCAAAAGCGAAGATGTTTTTTTGTACTATTTGGCTTAGCTTGAAAGTGTTTTTTCAATAATAATAATAATATTTATTGTAACAATAAGTGGATTACAAACATTATACAGCCCTGATTCCGAGCGCGAGCTGTGTGTAGAGAGACAGTTCCTTCTCAAACACAAGGTGAACAAATAGTTACAATAGTAGATACAATTTAGTTAAGTAAGTAACTAGATATGTTTCTGTATGGGTATGTGTATATGGGTGTGCGTGTGAGGCTGGGAGACAGTAACTTGTAATTTATGGAATTTATTTATATTATATTTTATGGCTAGTAATAGTATAGTTATCAAAGAACAAATCTGCAAAATTTCGCATTTATTACTTACATAATAAGCACGATTTTTACGTTCCAGCATAAACGCGATTTCCCAAAAAACTCATTTTTTATATTATGCCCTTATATTACTAAAGGTGCGATATGACAATGTATGATACTACAGGTTTTGTAAAAATAAAAGGGATATAAGATAAGCCAACGATTATACAAACCATAACATATATCGTGACAAAGAACATAAAGTGGCCTCACATAATGTTCATGGAAATGAAATATGCGCACCTACAGCCTAACGCCTAACTCCCTTTGTGAGTATCTGATTCACGGCAAACTGTTAACTAGTTCTAGCAATATCACATCTACACAGAAATATATCTGGCGAGAATTAGGAAAAACAACATCTAAAATACGTTAAATTACATTAAAACATAATTCTACAAAGCTCATCACTTTCATCATCACTTTCATTTGCCATTGTATCTATTAACTCAAAACTAAATTTGATTTCAGATTTCAAAACATCTCTCTCGGTTTCGGTGTCATTTATTCCACCAAATAAAAAAATATATCTCTAATCTACCTCTTAAAGAATACACAAGCGTGAGTATATAAAAATAAATCCACGAGAGTAATACACTCAGACCAAAATAAAACTAAACATATAAACGTTGATTAATTCGGGCAAGATCTCATAAAAATATCATCCGGCAATTTCAGAGCTCGGGTAACTCGACTGGGTTCTAATATTACTCTCGAATGACAACACGGCGAGGGACTTGAAATTCCCTCTTTTACGCAAGTGCGGAGGAAATATGAGCAGCTTTCATGATATGCTCACGTTACTGTCATTTGGACTTAGAATTAGCAACATGAGTTATGAAACTGGTTTCGTAATTAAAAAGCTTACCCGTGTAAATGTTTTTGTACATAATATCTAGTTTTATGACACATGTGATAAAAAACAATGTCAGTTACACATACGAAATAATTAATTAAATGTTAGCTTTGTTACACTGTGTTTTAGTCATAAGCTTAATTAAAATTGTCAGAATTGAGAATTAACATTGTACGAAGCAGCAACTGATAAAAATTTTTTGTCTGCGTTGTACCTTGCTCAAATTATTTTATTTTTTTATAGGCTCTGAAATCCCGAAGATCTTTTATTTCATGATTTATTTTTATTAAATTTATATATATCCAGCTTAACGTAAGTATATTCAGGATTTACCTTGTGCTTGATATTTTAAACTTGTTAATTTGATCAAGTAATCTACAAGTCTTGATATGAGACGAGTTATTACTATGAATTTAATACTGTCGGGTCAATTTTTTTATTAGTAGTATTATTTTGTATGCAAACTTAAATACGTCCTTTATTGCAGAAAGTATCCAATTAAAATTTTCTAAGATTTATGCAAACACCAGCTTTTGCCCGATTTTTTTTGACCCGCGCAACTTTGTCTGCGTCTCTCAATAGTAATAAATTTTCTCCGTTTTTGAAACATTCTTCATTGGTACTCCGCTCCTATTGGTCTTAGCGTGATGATATATAGTTTATAGACTTCCTCGATAAATGGGCTATCTAACACTGAAATAATTTTTTTAATCGGACCAGTAGTTCCTGAGATTAGCATCCATCCAAACTTCAATTATTATAATATTACTGTATATTATCTGCATGTTAAGTTTTTGCCTCGGTGGTGCAGTGGAAGTGTATGCGACTACCGTGCTGAGGTTTCGGGTTCGATTCCCGATCATACAAATGTTTGTATGATCTGTAAATATTTGTATCGGAGTCTGGGTATATTATATGTGTAGTTACAAAAAAAGTGTATAAGTATTCTATGAGTCAATCTAGCTTTCATAGTACAAGCTCTGCTTAATTTAAAACTAGATGGCGTTGTGTGTCAGAAGTCCGAAAAATATTATATTCCTTGTTCTGCTCATAGCTTAAAATAAAACGAAAAGTTCGTAAATTTGTTTGTTGCACGAACTTTTTACGATAGTAAGACACTATTTTATATCAGAAATGGAATATATGTTAGTACAGTTCATGGACGAAGAGAGTATATATCTCCATAATATGCTATAAAGTTCAAGGGCAGAAAATATTGGCAAGCATCAAGCTAAAAATATAAGACCAGTATCTTGAACTGATTCTTCATTTTCGTTCAGAGTATTGACACTCGTCTTACGTATGTTGAAAATGGGCGCCAATATTTTCGTGAAATGACGTCGATTTCGTGACTTTAAATGTATGTTTAGTAATTTATATTTATTTTATCTCTTTCCTTGTTCCTTGGCTTTATCGTATTACATATTTTACCACAGAAAAGGGAATCTTTGTTCTGTGTATTTGACCATGTTTGAAACTGTGATGTTATTTAAGAAAGTGCCTAAAATAGGTTACTATAGCTTGGATTTGTAGGTAATCCGGCACATATAAGCTGGTTCGAACGAAGTGATATATATCACATATTATATAAATACCTATTTATAACTAATGGAAAGTGCCGTTGATGGTCTGCCTGTGGACACGGCGATTAAGCGATAGCTTAAATGTCTTTTACCACAAATTGTTTTTATTTTGTTTCTGATTTGTTTCTTCTTCAACGTATTAACATTATTCATTCCAAACATGAGTTGCTTCCATTTTATATTTAGTTTTATAAGGAGAGTTTTCTTTGCGTCGATCTATCTGTCAGGGTGTTTGTAGTCGCACTCCTCCGAAACGCCTGGACCTATTTTAATTATTCTTTTTGTATATTTAGTAGGTATGAGAATAAGTTTTAAAGTGTTCTTCACCCCCCCCCCCCCCCTCATTAATTAATCCCGATTTGATTTCTCTTCTAATAACTAATCCTGATTTGAATCTTTACAGAACAATATTTGCCATGTCAGATAGTTAGGTATAAATTTTTAATTAACTAGCGTTTAAATACAGTTATTGAGAAAAGGGGTAACTAATGGCTGAAACAAGTTCGGAGAGAATAAATCAATATTGCACACATAACCAATTAAACCACCATAAATGATACTTGGAAATAGATAATGTCACGCGACATCGTCTACTTCCAACCAAGACCAATCTTTATACTCTCTACTCTCACCCCACACAGGGCCAGAATATAAGAAGGAATAAGCTTGGCGAGAGCACTTTTTACATGAGTTAAGTGTTCTCCATCTATCACGGACGCTACCCTGATCAAAGCCTCCAGAACTCCACTCCGAGCTAAATGCTATCGCCGTAATTATTGTAATAAAGTCTTAAGTCCAAATCAATTGCAAACTGTGAAAGTGACCTGATTGTATAATTTATCTCAATAATTTAGTCACCAGATCGACCATGTGCTACGGCACGAGGTCAATCCCCCTTCACCACGTTACAATGAGAAAATTAGGAGTATATGAAAATAAATCTAGGTAAAATGTGAAGACAATGGTAGGAAAGGAATATTGCATATGTATGATATCTGAACGTAATTAAAATAAAACGAAAAGTTCGTAAATTTGTTTGTTACAACAAGTGGTCCACAAGTTCAAAGTCGCTCAACGTGCTATCGAAAGGGCTATGCTCGGCATTTCTCTAAGGGATTGCATCAGGAATAAGGTGATCCGGCAGAGAACCAAGGTCACCGATATAGCCTACCGGATCAGCAAGCTGAAGTGGCAGTGGGCTGGCACCGACAACCGACAACCGTTGGGGAAAATGAGTGCTTGAGTGGAGACCGCGTCTCAGCAAACGTAGTGTAGGACGCCCTCAGGCCAGGTGGAGTGACGGCCAGGTGGACAAGATGTCTGGCAGGAGCTGGATGCGAGAAGTCCAAAATCGATCTAAGTGGCTTGCAATGGGAGAGGCCTATGTCCAGCAGTGGACTGCGATAGGCTGATGATGATGATATGTATGATAAATTGCTGCATATAAGCAATCACTGAAACAGGTAATGATCGCATACTAACAACGACTTCTTCCTTTTTCCCAAACTAGGCCTAAGCCCAACTAAACCTTTTTCTCAAACTAGGTTGGAGTCGGCTTAAAGTCTACTACGAACTCCGATTCTTCTAAATTTCTTTTTTTAAAGTTCGATTTTTTACGCGGAGCGACTGCTGATCAGACCACCACAACCCAAGTACTAAGCGACATCGAAAGACTATTGTTGGATTACCCGTAACGATTGCCACAGATGTTCCTATAGTAACCGCGACCGATGGCTTAACGTGCTCTCCGAGGCACAAAAGGGTCTGAATGTATTAAGAATCCATCCCATCTATAGACCGGCCTGGCTAGGATTGCTTAACTTTGCAAGGTGTTAACCTACTTGATTACCACTTTGCTACTGGTTGGTGACGGGAAATATTACTCTCTGACCGCACGTTTTCATATTTTATGCAATCATATTTTATGTTAGTTTTAACTAAATACTCTATATAGTTCTCAGAAAATAAGTCTTGTCAGATTGACAGATGTAATTCTAACTGAGCCTTTATTTCCTTTCAGGGAACAGAACCTTAAAGCGAACGAATATTACAGATACGTAAATTAAATTTCAGGTATATCGTAATTACCAGTTCACTTTCGTATGAAATTTTAACTTTGAATTAGAATATATTAAATTAATATTAACCCTGCTTATGAGTTGTACGGTTTTAATTGCAAATCATTTAAAAGTAATTTGTATTAAATACACGGACTAATTTAAATATTGTAAATTTATAAACTGAATATAAATTTTAATACTTTGATGTTATATTAATTACATTGAATTTATGGTCTAGTAGAGTACCTAGTTACGGTTTCACACCATCCATTAAATTATTATATTCATTGTCATCAATCACCATTTATGTTATAAGAATGGCGGTCTTCATAAGTCTAACTAACTTGTTTACGACTTTTAGATGTCTACTTTTTTGTCTACGGGATGGAAGATCTCTTCGGATCTCCGGCTCCTGGGGGACGCAAAAGGACTCCTTAAACGCCACATTGCTATCGATCTTTTGACACTTGACACTAGACAAAGCCTAAACTAAAATAAAATGTATCACGGACTTTAAAAATGTAATTTTAAGTGTCTAAAAATTAATTTAATTCTGGTATTTCGAGCAAACTTTTCTGACAGGAACATACATTAATTTTCGAAAAATTAAGCTAAAAAATTCTTTTTTATGGGTCCAGACGCGGTAATTACTGGAGCTATTAGTCAAATTTCAGTTTTTAACGATTTTTCTATTGGATACGCTTCATCAAGGAGAAGATCGGCTGTGTTACTTCACTCTATGACCTTTGAACCGGAGTGGTGTCCATAAGCACGGCTGAAACTGCGGTTGCAGAGCTAGTAATCTCTATAAGATTCCTGGAATTAAATTTAAAAAAAAAGTACTTACAATGCCGTCACCAATATTCCTGATCACACAAGGCAGGAGCGCTGTGGATCCTGTTTGTGAAGTCACCACAGTATTGTTCTCTGTACCGAAGTGTTTTTCTGGCGTGTTACTGTATAAGTCTTCTAGAGGAGGGAAAGAGACAGTCAGCTCATTATGTTCTGGCTTCTCTGTGGAGGATGAGGGGACGGGTGATGATGGACCTGTTGACAAAAAAAGAAATAATTTGACAGAGATCTTCTAAATATTTTGAAGCAAATTCTTTCTTTGCAACTAGTTATGTGTTAAAATAATGAAGAAGGAAAGGAAAACAATTGAAATACAAGTACACAATATAAACATGCTTTATTTTTTTCTTGAATAAAAAAGTTGAAGTTATTTCTAAATGTTTGTTTAAATAAACACTCAAGTTCCTGGAACTACCGGTCATATTTAAAAACATCTATTTATATCTGATAGCCAGACTAGATAGATGAGGAATACTATGGGCCATTAAAGCCTTAAATGTTTATTTCTATTAGGTAAAGAAAAAGCGCTAACTGTTTTGTTCCTATTCCTGCACTAGAAATATATCTTGTGTCTCGGGGAACTTTACTAACACACATGAAACGGATACAAAGAACACCCAGACTTAGAAAACAATTTGTGTACCACATAAAGTGTTGTCCCATGTGGGGATCAAACCCACAATATTCAGCGCAGTAGGAAGCGATATGGTGACTGCTTAAACCAGTACGGTATCCGTTCAGCCAATGACCGTAGTTAATGATACATAAAAATTTTTGGTCCATAGTAGACTGTTCACGACCCTGGTCTTTCTGGATAACTGCAATCTCAGCTTCCATGCAAAACTTGCGGTATCTCTTACACCAGCTCGCTTGCCCTTACCGAGGGCCTCTAACCCTGCTTCGGTACAAATAGGCTGGCTCAACCAGTCGCAGAAAACCAGTGTTTAGTAATTATTTTATTGCTTTTCACCTAAACAAGTCCTCCCCCTTTTTTTCCTGTGTCGGAACCCCCTCGGATACCACCCAGCGGTGGTAATGTCGGACCGAACCGACCAAAAACCGCACTCCTTCTCGGGTACGAGTAGCCAGGGAACCAGGTGTTCTTTAGGAAGGAAATCCCTGGTACCCAAACAAGCCCTCCCCTTATTCTAGGAGAGGACTTAAGGGGCGACAACGACCTTGACTCTTGAGTTGTAGGTGTTCATAGGCTGCGGAACTTCTGTCTCGTTTACCCTAATTTTCCTTGTTATTCTGCGCATAGCGTTGACCAGGAATAGAATAGGGAAAAGGCAAAAAATTGATGATGGTAATCAGATATCATTTTAGTTTCTTGTTTACTGTGGTTCTTTATTAGGAAGCAAATGTTGTTACTTTGGCTATATTTATTAGAAGGGTCTTGCCAAGGTAGGAGGGGAGGTTGCGTCACCTACCGACTGACGCAGGTGCCCACTGGGCATGGCTTCGGTGAGTACCTGAATCAGATTGAACGCGAGGAGACGGCACGGACTTCGCCCATCACACGCTGGAAGACTGCTGGAGCTGGATATCCGAATAGATTTTCAACCCCGAAATTGTCTTGCCAAAATACATGTTTACTCATATTCAACCAAAAATATTTATTAAATACCAGGTCGACATCAGACATCGCAGTAATTATACTGAGAGCTTAGAATCGATAAGTTAAAAAAAATAGTTTCCCATACAAACTTTTTAAGAGTAGTTTTGAAAAATTAGTTACAACGTTTTATTACTTTTAGTAAAAACTATTAACTGTAGTACTAAGTTTGAAAACGCCACCTCCAAAAAAAACGAAATGCATATCAATTTACAACACCCCATTTTCAGGGATGAAAATCTTTTTTTAGTCACCTACGGAACATTTGTATAAAATTTCCAGCTTCTAGTCCCAGTGGTTTCAGCTATGCGTTGATCAATCAGTCTGAAAGGTTCTTGTTTATACATATAGACCAGCTTGTCCCGCTAATCTTATATATAAAATTCTCGTGTCAAAATGTTCGTTCCCGTACTCCTCCGAAACGGCTGACCGATTCTCATGAAATTTTGTGTGCACATCGGGTAGGTCTGAGAATCGGCCAACATCTATTTTTCATACCCCTAAATGGTAAGGGTGACCCATCCCTAAATTTTTTTTTTAGGCAAAGTAACGTTTGTCGGGTCAGCTAGTATAGACGATATAAATTTAATTTATAGCTTATGGCACTCAGGAATAATTCAGCTACGTATTAGAGCAACAGTTTTCAGAATCGGTTCAGTAGTTTAAAATATTACCCCTTACATACAAACAAACTTTTACCTCTTTATAATATAAATATAGACTAGGCTATACCACCCTATAAGTAAGCCATTTAGGTGAAAGTAGGTTTAAGATTTAAGCGGAGATTACGCTGGACCATTTCGAAATAATAATTAGTTCTATATATCTAAATTATGCGGCCGTGTAAGACCCTTTTTAGATGGAATCGCTGAGAGCAGAGACTAATAAATTTTGCCGTAACAAGTACCGCCCCTGGATTTTTTGTAGGAATTTCGTATTATCTAACATTGCCTACATGTCTCGCGCCATTACGTTTCTTGCCACGACCAGACGATATATTTATGCGAGTATATTTTTTTATATTCGAATACTCGGAGAATTTAATATAAACTCGTGGGAAATCTGGAAGCGACTGGAATGATGTCATAAGATTGGCATGCAGTTTATTAGAGCGTGAGATTTAAAAAGCGGTGAGTGATATACAAGTGTTTTTTTTTACATCATCAAAGAGCTAAGAATTAAACCTTAATTTAGATACTCAATATTATGATGATGTGATAAATTTATTGAGATAAAGCTGTGCTTCAAATCCTTATTAACTTGAGAAAATTTAAAAAGGAAAGAATATGAATTCAGGAATGAAAGTTATTTTTTAGATGTCATTAATAAATCTATGGATAAAAATTTTAGCTTTCTAATAACTACATTAGAAGTGAAGGATCTTTAGCAAAGATTTCTTTTGATTAACCTTGAAATAATATTACAGCTGGCTGTCATAAACTAAGTAGGTACAAGTAAAAAATCAAGAATATCTATAATTCTCAAATAATAGGCAACAAATAGGTGACTTCGTGTGGTGAAGGGTTAAGAATACAGAGTGTCACCACCCCTATTCATCAGGTAGGTGTCGTAAGAGCCGAGTGGGGGGAGAAAACTACGCAGAACAACACTGCACTGCAGAGAGAAAGAAAACTAGACACAATCCCTATACCAAACCGTCTGATCAGCGTGGTATAGTAGGCCAAAACTAGCTTTTTAAGGAGAGGCTTATGTTCAGCAGTGGACTATTAAAGGCTATCAAGTACTGCTAACGTTATATTGTAGATAAATCCTTTGTACATAATATTTCATCTTTTAGATAGATTTTCTATTCAGAGTCATATGTTTGAGAAAATAAATAGATAGATAAATACTTTATTTGTACACCAGGGTTTTACAGACATAATAAAGTAATTAACAACAGATGTAATGTACAAAGGCCGAGATTATCGCTTAGTGCAATTTCTTCCAAGCAACCTTGGATGGACTGGATTCATTTTGAACTGGTGATAGGTATACAGAAATTAGAGAAATAAATAAGGTTTTAACCTAAAATATGTTCGAGTATTGAAGAGTTTGCATAACTAAGATAAATTTCTCAAATTCTACAGATACTTGCCAAAATTATACTGACAGATAAGACAAATGAAGTACAATATTAATAATATTACCATAAACCCTTCTAATTTACCCATATCTAAACTTTAACTAAAGCGTTTAACCGCAATAACGTTTTAACACTTAAGATCTCGAAACTCTTGACCTTTGTCGTCTAGCAACAATCGTGCTGTTAGGTCTGCGTATAATTTAATTAATTTTCTATCTTGTTGTTCCCACCACTACAAATTACCAATTTTGTCAGTCCCCATCTTTCCTTCAAGATGATCCATCACTCAAATTCATCAGAACTTCCAAGATCCTTTCATCTTCAATTGGATTTGTAGCTCTTAGAAATATTTTGTATGTTATATTTTTGAAATTTGAACAGGCTCATGTTGACTTTTGGGTTGATTTAATTGGACCGTAATTATACATACTTAGTTCAATGAATAGCTGTGCCTTAACGTTGTATGATGAAATGATGAAGAGTACCTATGTATTAATGATATCATTTATCTAGACTGGATTTGTGAGAGCTTAGGGACGCCTCAATAGTATAAAGTGTAATAGATTCCGTTTTTTTTTCTACTATGAACTGCACGCCGCCTCGGGTACTAGTAGCCGGGGAGAAAATCCCTAGTACGCTGTTTCAGCCTCTAACAACTGTATGTATGTTGCCAGAGTCTAAATAATACGATATACTTATAATATTGCGTTGTATTAGTTTTTGATTTTAGTTCACAAAACAATTTAATCTTGACGAATAAGAAGGTGTCCGTGTGGTGACGGATTAAGAATACAGAGTGTCACCACCCCTATTCATCCCGTGGGTGTCGTAAGAGGCGACTAAGGAAGCAAACTACGCAGGACAACAGCACTGCAGAAAGAAGGAAAACTTGAAACAAACCCTATACCAACCCGTCTGGCCAGCGTGGTATAGTACGCCAAAACCTCCTTTCTAAGGAGAGGCCTATGTCCAGCAGTGGACTAGTAAAGGCTGTTGATGTGATGATGTGATGTGATGAAGGTACAGTGTAGTGCGTATCGTGTCGCGTCGAAAGCAAAAGCGTTGTATCGCTGCCGTGGAGGGGTTTCAATAAAAAAGGGGTCTTTAAAAAAAAAAATACTGGCTACAGCGCTCCCGGCTCACGCGCGCGCCTTTCGGCCTTCAGTGATTGTTGTGTCGTTGCGCCAACATACCCCAAAAGCCTACCTATGACTACGATCAATGTAATGTAATCAAAACATTGGGCAAACAATGAAGATATTGTTCTTTATAAAGTTTAAGAAAAATGACTAATAATATTTCGCTTTGGACATAATTGTCTACTGTATTAGTAAAGTCGTACCAAAATATTTCGGAGAAAAACAAATTGGAAAACCAGAATCGACCTCGAGGTATATTTTCTGATTTTTTTTGGTCTTTAATTTTACCATCTATATCGATAGCGACTTGTCCTTTGATACAAAACAGTATAATCGGGATATTACGTGTCAGTAGCAAAAGATTAAAGCTTCCGTTGGAAATACTTTTGCAATTTTCTTTGAACATCTTTGGGTAACTTAATTATTTCTACTTAAAATGTCTTTTGGGAGCTCTTAAAAGCAAATGCAGGTGGAATAAATTAGATTGTTAATTGTATTTATGTTTTGGTGATCTTGAGTTCCTAGTACATGTATTGCAAAGTTATTTTGGATACTATAATAATATTACGAGTCGGGACTCTTGATTAAATCAATACACACTCATATGTTTACATGAATTAGATAAAATTTCTTTCAATTAATTGAAAAAAACACAATCATCTGCAATTAACAACGAAGTGATGCTTGCTTGTACTGTTCACAATTCGCCGTATTTGTTTAATCGCTGTGTCGCAAAACTAGAATGTCAAAAACATATATATCATAATAGCCAAGTTCCAGAATATGGCTAAACTTTTCCGATAAAAGCGTAACAAACAAACAAAATATACCAGTACAGTAACTTCTAAAACTTTAAGGAATATTTTGTATAATCATTTTTTTTTGGACCACGAGCTCATCGATTTGGTCAATTACAACCATCTTATTAAATGAGGCAACTCACTTCAAACAAACATCAAGCGATACGATCTTTTCAAGTACGTACTCTACTTCTTCTGATTTCTTTTACCTAGCCGTTAGCCGTTGCTGGGCTGATTTTCATTCTATAGATTCTGATCAGCGTATTGGAATATAAGCATGAGCGGGAAGCCCATAGAAGAATTGTCTCTATTGTCACATTATCGTCATCATTTTTCTGTTCCCTGAAAGACTTAGATCAAATATCTGTGTGTCTGTTTCATGATTGGAGATACCACTAAATCAATAGTCTCTAGCACAATTCTTATAATTCTGAGCTAATAAGAGACTTGTGTCTATCGTTGTTTCATCACATCAACAGCCTTTAGTAGTCCACTGCAGGACATAGGCCTGTCTTTAGAAAGAAGGGTTTGGCCTACTGTACCACGCTGGCCAGACGAGTTGGTAATGGGTTCGTTTTAAATTTTCCTTGTCTTTGCAGCGCTGTTGTCCTCCAGTGTGCTCCCTTAGTCGGCTTTTACGATACCGTCGGGATGAATTGGGTGACACTGTATTCTTAATAAGTCTTCACATGGTATCTGTTATATATGTATATCTTATTTAATATATTTATGGTCTTAAAACACAAGATTCATAACACAGCATAGTTAAAGAAATACAGTCTAAATTATGTAAAAAAAACTTTATTTGAACTGTCAAAAGTCTATGGAATGATAATTCAAGTTATGCTGGTCATCTAAATAAAACAAAATTCAAAAGGTTAGAACTTCGAACGCCAGGAGATCTCTTGTATCGTATGAAAAGCAGGCGTTTCAAAAGTCATTCAAGCTTAATCGGCATTGATCGCATATTAAATGCGAAACCTTTTCAAAATGGCGCCTAATGAGAGGAAAACTGCGTGAAAACGTCCAGTTGAACGATATCGAACGGTCTGTTGGTTATTAATGAACTATTCTTAACAAAGCATAGCTTACGGGTTTGAATGAAAATAATGTCCGAATTATTCTGTTATAATATCCTTTTTAACGAGTACTTTTATGATATAGGATATAAACGAACAGACGAGACATTTGATGAAAAAAGTGCCTTTTGCCGCCAAGGACACCTGACAACTTAGGAAATACACGTTCCTGATTTTTGAGGTGGGAGTAAGAATTTATTTTGAGGATATAGGAATAGTACATACGGTAATTTGTTCCACTGATTAAAAAATAATTATTAGAAATTTCAAAATAAACATCATCTTATAAATTGATAACAGTGCCTTTAGCTACCTCATTCGCGTTTCTATTATCGGCAAATATACTTATTTAATTACGATTTTGGAGCACCTGATTAACTTGGTAAGCAAATCCTAGTCTTGGATCAGTGGTCATTGCACTTTATGTCTGTCTAACATAATGCAGGTAACTGGTAAGTTTTTCTCAATCAATTACTACTACAGTCCCATTTCCTCATACGAGACTTACGGTAGCCTAGCTCCTTTGCCCTATTCTTACCCAAATCTATCTTTTTCTTTATACCATCTGAAAACGTTTACATCTCCAAGGAAGCTTAGCGTCAAGCTGACCAACGGCTCTTTGCTATGTTGGATAAATGGCAGACAGTGACTATTATAATGTTTTCTTTTCCACTGTTTTCTCATAAAAACTTGTGTGAACAGCCAACGAGATGATTCCATGCCAATTTGTTTTCGCTTTTCTGAATGCAACAAGAGTGTCTGCATCTTCTTTTTGTTGTAAGTTCGTCGTCTGCGTGACTCCTTCGCATTCGCATCTCCTTCCTTGACATTCGCATTTTGAGCCTATCGTCCACAATATTACTTTTGGGGTCATCATCATCAACAGCCTTTGGTAGCCAACTTCTGGACATAGGCCTCTTCTTAGAAATGGGGTCTTGGTCTCCTATTACACGCTGTCAAGTTTTCCTTCTTTTTTTGCAGTCCTGTTGTCCTGCAGAGTTTGCGAACTGATTCAGCTCCTACGATAACCGTAGGATAAAAAGGGATAATGACACTCCGTATTCCTAATCCAAGACAACACTTTTAGGGTAAGAATAAATTATTTACAATAATTTATACGTACTCCTTCATTGCAAATTATTCAGTAAACAACTTCGAACTTTAATTAAGGCTTTTAGAAAGGTTTAAAAATCTAATTTTGACCCTGTGAATTTTCGTGAAACTACATTTAGAAATGCTCGTCTATAGCTGAAATAAATTTATCAAACTTTGAATAATAGATTGTATCTAATAACTCTGAAAAGAACAAATTCAATGGTAAATATCGATTTTGTCAAAATGGCCCGATCGATTAAGTAAACTGAATTTACTGTAACATTTTGTGCAGCTTGATAAATCTCATTAGCACTGTCTGGATTGCCTCGTTCATGCTTCGTTTTTTAGACGTTTATATTATCTAGTTTATCTGGTAGATACTTTATAAAATTTTATGATTATTTTATAGATATCTTTTCATCGTTATTATTCTAGCCAGATAATGAGGTTTGGACATCAGACCAAAAATGTATCACATTTATTTTATAAAGTTAACTTAATTAAGTTTTAATCTATCGTGCTCCATATATACAATTATGTTTACGGGAGTAAACTTAACTGACGCTAAACATTTAAATTTCTTATTAAGTACTTTAAAGATAATTTATTTTTTATTTTACATTTAAAAGTATCTTGTGCTTTGGTAAACATATGCTTCCATTAGCCTCTGTACACCTAGCGAAGGTTGACTGCTAGTGAATACATATAAACTGTAAATAAATAAAGTAATATCAAATAAATCATATCCAAAAATATTACACAACTATAACCTTATATATCGTTGTGTCAAACTATATAAAACAGAATGAACTTAGGTATCGTGTTCTGCTCAGTGAATCGAATTTGAGCAGTTCAGTCACCATCATTAATTCTCTTCTTTCGGTTTACTTTTTGAACTAGTCCCACGTCATTAGGCCAGTAGTATTTGAAACAACAAATTGGTGTGAAGATTAATTTGGGTACAGCCCTGTGATACATATGAGTCATCCCTAAAGCTTAGTCAACCCTAGCAAAACTATTTCGTTACTCGCACTCGCCCGTGGGAGTTGGCCACAATTAGCTTCACTCACCCGGTGAAAAGTTACCAAGGAGTTACATAACACAGGTTTTCGAACCCGATCTATTTTAAAACTTTCGACTTTGACAAAGAGTTTTAAATAGCTTAGACCC